TAGGTAGTAGTACGTAAGTAAGTAAGTAAGTAGTTATTAGTTATTATTAGTTAGTTTAGGTTGGTAGGTAGTAACGTAAAGTAAAGTAAGTAAGTAGTAGTATATATATATATATATATATATATATATATATATATATATATATATATATATATATAAACTCTGAGGTGACATTGCTGAACGTGACCAATTTAAAGATCTGCTCCCTCTTCTCCCTCCTTCCTCTTCAGTCACCCCCTCCTCCTCTTCAATCTCCCCCTCCTCCTCTTTCTTCTACTTTTTTTAAACAACCCTTTAAAAATGTAAAAACCATTCTTAGCTTGTTAGCTCTACACAAACAAGCCACGGGCCACATTTGTCCTGTCAGCGTTCGTTGTAGTTTGCTGATCCCTATGTCAGCCTCTAAAACTGTTTCAATTTAACTTGTTTTTCTTCCCCCATAAGAAGCTTACAGATACTCGGAGTGCCTAATACTATCTACTGTTGTCATGAAACAATTCAACATATTCTAGATGAGCGGGAAAGTATTTTCAGCAATTATAACTCATGAATATGCCCTGAAAAATTCCACTAAACTGTCCCTTCGTAATTTACCTCACAGAACATTCTTACGTTACTTCTCAGTTAATTAAGAATTCTATAGAAATGTCTGTGTTAATGTGACCATTCTATAGAGAGTTTACATACAGTGTATTCACACAGATGGTTGTGAATTATTTTTGTATCAAATATTCGATCCTTCATTCAGTATAGTGTAAGGTACTGGAAATATGAGAATAAATGTAACCGAGTTTCTCTAGCTTTTCAAGAGTTCACAGACTAGTAGAAAGAATAGTCAGGTAAATAATTAAAATATTGAGGCAAAAGAATTTGAAATTTGAGCAGGACTTGGATGAGTTTCCAAGTTGCAGGTGCATGAAGCAGTAACATGTATTTATCTAGGACCCAGGAAAGAGATGTGGCCTGGATAGATGTTTCTGAGACTTGTTGGTGTATACAGTGAGCTGAAAATTTGTGCAAACACAAAACTCTTTAAGGTGAGTGAGAGAGAGAGAGGAGAGGCTGGAGGAACAGCAGTGGCCAGCAAGTAGTAAACAGAAAAGTAGGAAGTGCTACAGAGGAAGCTTGGGTGAAAAGGATTACAAAGAAGCCAAGGTCAACAAGTTCAAAGGCTTCAGGGAGCTCAACTAAAGTAGGGCTGGAGAGTGGCACTGGAGTTTGCCAGCTGGGAGCCATCTTCGTGGGGAGATTCTGGAGAACAGTGAATGTTAACTGTGAGGCACTGTGTTAACATAGTGATTCTCATGTGGAAATCAGCTAGGGAGCATTTTCAAAGTTGAAGCACCCCTTTCCCAAAAGAAATGTCAGAAGGCAATTTGTCAGAGGAAATGTGTGTTTTAAAATAAGCTTTCTGTTGTTCTGATACCCGCCCTCCTCACAAGCTGAGAATTAATGGAAAGTGAAGGACTCCAGATAGCAACTATACCTTATTTTCCCAGCACCAAGGCTTTGTTAGAAAGAAGATAAAACGTAATGAGAAGGAAAGACGAAATTTAGGAAGAGCTTGCTTTGTTGTTCCTTAGCATGAGAAAGACTGAATAATGTTACAGACCAAGAGCTAGTAAAAACGACAGAAGCTAAAGATAAATGATGGAGAAAAGGATTCACAATCTTGCCAAGTCCCTGCGGCAGTGAGAAGCGACAGGATCTGGAGTAAAGGCAGAAGCGAAAACAGAGGTTTTCATACAGAAGAAGATGGTTTGTTAAGCAAGAAAATTTGTGCAAAAAAAGCTTCAATACAGTTTCAACCTTAATTTCCTCCACTTTACGTTATATCTGTATTTGAGGAGGAAATAAAATGAAAGCAGGGGAAGGGACAAAAAGCTGAGTACAGGCTGGTCTGTGTAAGTGGATTTCTACCCATTATTTCTCACTGGATTATGGACTTTTAGGATGACAAGAGGAAAGAGGTACTATTGGTTTCACTTGAAAGATGACACATAGAAGGAGTAGAAGCAGAGATGGAATTCACAGCCTGGATGTCAATAATGAAATTAACAGGAACAGCTCACATGCATAATCTAAGTGTTTCATTAACCAAATGAAAGCAAAGCTGTGACTCCCGATGCAGCAGCCTTGGTGACAAGCGTGACACTCTGGCGTGCCGCTGAGGACACGTAAACAGAAAGATCCTGACGGATGTTCTCTAACCAAAAGAAATGCTCCAATAAAACTTTTTGCTTTTGTTTCTTTTGTGGTTATCTGAGAGATACCAGAACATTTATGGAGGAGATAGAATGGTTAGTGTTAAAATTAAGTAACTTTTCCACTACTGCCCAGTTTTCATGGAGGGAGGGGAAGCTTAATTTACATGATATTCCAAGATTTAGCATATATTTGAAATACATGAATTTTGCCTATAAAGTGTTAATTCACTTGAGAAAGTGGGATATATGTCCTGTGTCACCTACAAGTCTGTCCATGGAGAGAGCAAACCACTAATAGAATCACCAAGAATGTCAAAGTGCCATCTAGAGGCTGGTTAAGCACCTTATAGGTAAATGATCCTTAAAATACACATAGGGTGGGGTTCTGGCAAAGAACAGGAGAAGGGACTCTGGAACTGATACAAATCATATAACTAACTTTACGTGCTTATTCAAAGATCCTACACTGCAATCTAACAGATTACTTTAAAGGAGAGAAGGTATTACACTTTTACTTACTTTAAAACATTAACTCATGTTTTCAGCCAAGTGTCAGCACTGAATTGGCTTGTGATTATGGGCATTCAACATCCTGTGTGCCATTGAAGTAACTTCAGCATCAATTTTGCAGCTGGCAAACTATTGCTATTTATGTTTTCAGTGCAGTTGAAATAATCTAGAAGTTATTTTACTTCCATTAGACATTAAGAATAGAACCAAATGTAAAATCATTACTTTGCCAATTTACTGTGAAACCCAAAGGAAATCTCTCAAAAGTATCATTTATTGAATGTAAAAGTGAAGGAAAAAAGCAGTTCTTGGAACTAGTTAACATTTCAGTCAGTTAGGAATATCAAAAGTATACTAAGGATTTTTAGATTTTTCCATGTATGTCTGTATAAAATAGCATTAAATAGCTGATTAAACATCTTCTATATTCTAAACAGTATTAGTACTGTTACATGCCTTTTAATCCTAAAAAACCAGCAAGTTGAGCATGGTCTCTGTTTTACACTCAAGGACACTAAGGCTGCAGTTCGTCAATGTACCTGACTAGCTAATTAGCGACAGCCCAAATTCCAGTACAGGTACTTCTGAATTCAAAGCCAATGCTCTTAGGTTCTCAAGTGAGTCCTTTTTGAGATTCAGATATATATGATATATCTGTCATATATTATATAACATCTGAGATATATTATCTATATCAGGTAAATAATAATATATATTATAAACTCTAGAGATAATAAATACATACATATATATAAACTCTGGAGATAACAGGAATCTATATACAAAATAAAATTATAAGATTAGAGCTTAGACTCTTTGAATTCTAAATTTTCTTACCTCCTTATGTGTGAGATGTGATAAAGGATAACACGTGAAACTTCAGTGCCCTAATTAACAGTATACGCCAAGCTGTTTAGGCCAGTCACCAAAACACTGCAAATTGGCTCTCACCCCTCCACCTCTCCTGCGTTCTGTCTTCCTTGTTTCTGCTCAGGCTGAGCGTCGTTGAAGAGCTGACCCGCCACACGCTTTTCATATTAAGCATCACCAGGATCCTGACTATTACGTGCCCCTCTTTTACGTATCCTTTTTAAGAGTCTCCCAGGCCCCAAAATACTGTGTAAGACTAACCTTCACTTGAAGCCTCTCATTCCGCACCTCTTCACCCAGCATTGTCTCCTTCACTGATCCTGTGTCCTGAGCTCCAGCTTTTACCTTTTCTCTCCATTTCAGTAACTCTCTGTCTTTATATATATATAGATAAACAGTTGACCTTTGAACATCATGGGGGTTAGGGTCCTGACCCTGCACAGTGAAAATCCATGTATAATTTACAGTCCACCCTCCATATACGAATCAATATCCACTGCCTTCATTAAGTCTTCACCTACTCCCTATCTTATTAGAAACATGAACTTCTTTATTCTTATCATTTTACTAACATTTTTTTCTCTTGGAGGCCATTAAAAGACAGCGTTCTTACCGAATCTGATGGAAGTTTCTCTGTTTCTTCGACATCTTTAGTGTATTTGATCCCGTTGACTTCCTCTTACATCTTGAAATCACATTCTTTGGTTTCATCTCATCTTTAACAGGCTTTGGGTTTTTCCTTAGCCCACTGAGGCAAAGACTGTTTATATTATTCAAGCGAGGTGTGACCACCTGTTTCTGTGCCTCAGAAAAGCCCGTATCCTCTGGGAAACACTGAGACCAGCAGCTTACTGCTTCTCTTTCCAAGCTCTGCTGCGCTCCCTCCTCAGAAGGGTGAGAGAGGCTCTTTCCCGTCTGGTCCCGAGGAGGCCTCTGCTCTTCCGCCCTCGAAGACGCTTCTCAGGTGCTTCTCATTTACTCTAATACTCCAGAACTAGGGAGACAACAATGAGAGTCTGAGGATTTAGTTCCCTAAATTAGTGTTGCCTTCCTCCTAAAAGAGCTCAATCAACCAGATTATATGTGAGAAAGAAATTTTACTGATTTGAGGTCATCTTTTTATCTCATTAAACTACTTACAAAGATTTGTCACCAGCAGAGGAAGTTCAAACATTAAGTTCTGAATAATCTTCAAACTAGATAACAATTTCTTGAATCTATAAGTTAGTCACTCAGTCATTGTGGATTTTAGTGACTAGTGTATAAGCATTAAGAAAATAATGTTTCTAAAATTATAAAGCAATTGGAGGCACGCTAGTCTTTCAACACTAAGTGAAACAATAAATTGAAAATGTATGATTACAGACACGTAAAATAAGGCTAAAAACAGAAAAATATTTAAAAGAAGTTAGCCAAAATAGTAGCGAGAGTTAATTTCCAGTGCTATAGTTTTCTTTAATATTCACATATTGCTGTGATTTTTTTTTTTAAGGAAACGCTGGTTTCAAAACACAAGTAAAACTCAAATGCACTATCCCATCAGGTAACTTGCTCTCAGCTGGGTAACTTTGGTCCTCCTCCTCAGTGCCTCCCAGTGCTTAACAGGTGTCACTCCTTTTATTCCACAAGCTAAGAAGAAATTCCAAACACACATCACTGCTATCCCCAAGCTGTTTATCCTTTTGGAAGCAAGGCATATGTTGAATTATTTTTTAGCCCATCCAGAAAATTTTATGTGCTTTTAGGATAAGCTCTGTGCACTTTCATAAAGAAGTAGCCAAATAATGAGATTTTTCTAATGCTTAATGATTCAAGCAACAATAAAATGTTACCAATACATATTAAAGTATAACAATAAAATCTGCGTTTTTCCCCTTTGCAGCTAGAAACACATGTTGAAATATTCATCTGTTTGAAGCCCAACATATAAATATGCAAAAAGTCACCAGATCATCTCTACACAAGTGAAAATAAGTTGTAAGAACTGCATGTGAAAGATCACCATCAACACTGAAATAATATAAATATGTGCTAGACAGAAATAGACGCAGGCACTTCCTAAACTAACACAAAATGAGTATTTCAGGGACACGTAATGTAATTTGCATCCTGGGGGTATAATTTCATCTTCTCGTCAAAGAATTTATATTCATAACCTGCCACGAAGAATTACAGAATGAGATTCTAGGATGTTTTCGTTTGTGTTTTTATTTTTTAACCAGCATTAGAACAGTAACTTTGGAGCGCTGACCATAGTCAGTAGATCATTTGAAACGTTTGCCCTGTCATGCTACAAAGTAAATAGTCCAATTTGCCATTTCTGGAGGTTTGGGGGATAACGGTGGTACTCATGTTTTAAACCACAGGGCCCTGTTGGCTCATATCTACTTCTCCCTACCCAAATAAATACGTGCACACAGTGAAACAGTGAGATCTCTGGCATACCCACAGGTCTTCTTAATTTCTCTCTTTTGTTCTGCTTCTGTTCTCTAGCTCAGCGAGAGAAAGGGAGATGTGTTACTGTGGATTCTTGGCTCTTTCCACCTTTGAAATAATTTCCTTCCCTCCTGTCTTCAATTTAGCATAGCTCTTTTTAAAAACTGAAATGTTATTTCCATTTCCTTTGAAATTGCCTTTTCAATTCATTGCATTGCTGTGTGTTGATTTCCTTTTTCAAGTTTGCATGCAGCTAAACATGGTCTATAAATTTGCTGCTAGGAGAGTGGACTATAATATTGTCCAAACTTGAGCCTTCATCATGTATTATAACTGATGTATTGATTCATTTAGTTAAACCCTCCCCAATGAATCGCATTGTTCATAACCCTCTAGAGCTGCACTGTCCAATATGGTAGCTACTAGCCATGGGTGGGTATTTGTATTGAAATGTAAAGTAATTGCGATTAAACAGAATTTTAAATTCAGCTTCTCAGTCACACTAGTCACACTTCACGAGCTCAATCACCACATGTAGCTAGTGGCTACCATATTGGACAGCACAGATGTTACAGAACATTTCCATCACCTCATAAATTTCTATTGGACAACACTACTTTCGAGAAAGTCTCGCAGACTAAAGAGCTAGAAATCTAACCTGGTCTTCTTGAAGTATTAGAAGTCAGAGGGGTTTTTTGTTCCCTACTTAATATAGGAATTCAATATATACTGGTTAGAATGTGATTAGTATGTAGGTGAAAAACAAAACTAACATGTTAGAATTTATTTACCAATGCACATTACATGAAAGGGAAAACAAAACATCCAAGCTGTGATGTACTTACATTCTCTGCTCCGGGTGGAAGCTCTGACTCTAGCAAGCAACAATCTTTGGTACGACTGAAGCTCATTTAATCCTCAATTTATCACACACCCACTATGAGCAAGTTGATGATCTGCACATTTTGTTGCAGGGGGGAAAAAAGTCAAGAAAACAGTTTCCATTCTAATGGGGAAGATTGCCATGTATTTAAATAAATATGGCATAAGCAGGGGCATTTCCAGGCTTTGTGGGGCCTTGAAACTCATGCAATTTAGAGAGCACTTAAAAAAACAAGAACTCGCCCAAATTGGAAATATATAAAACTATATATATATAACTCCCAGGGTGTTGAAATTAGTCTGTGCAAGAAAGTGTTCCTGAAAGCCGAGCTTCATTAGTTTGCTGTAAAGCCACTTCTGAGTATTAAACAAAATGTAACAAAGGGCTGTGTGCAAACAGCAGGAGAAATAATCGTAACAGAAAGGACTAGAGCTGGCATTTTCATAGAAAAAGGGCTGAGAGTTAACACTCGATAGTGTTGAAATGATAGTGTTTACGCCTGGCTTGAGGACTCTGTGAGGGCAGGGAGGGTTGGTGTCGTATTTTACTTTTTATATTTCTCACAACTTTTATAGGGAAAATGCATTCTTGTGTACCTCTGTCTAAAAATAGAGTCTGCCGATTTTGTACACACACACACACACACACACATAAAGAAAGATGATACTTGAATTAGGTGTTGAAGTCTGGCTTGATATGAAAAGATGGGGGAGTGTCTTAGCTCAGGCTGATCTAATGAGATACTAGAGACAGACATTTACTTCTCACAGTTTTGGACACTTGGAAGTTCCAGGTCAGGATGCCAGCACAGTGAGGTTCTAGTGAGGGTCCTCTCCCTGGCTTGCAGATGGCTGCCTTCTGTGTCCTCACATGGTGGAGGGGTGGGTTGGGGTAAGGAAGATTTCTGGTCTCTTTTTATAAGGGCATTAATTCCATCATGAAGATCCCACCCTCGTGACTTCATCTAAATTTAATTTCCTCCCAAAGGCTCCACTTCCTAACCACACTGGGGTGTGGTTAATGCTTCAACATATAAATTTTGGGGGAACACACACATTCAGTCCATAACAGAGAGAGAGTCAATCCTGAAGAAAGGAATAGAACTTGCAAGGATATAAAGTGAAAAGTGAAGAGAATGTTTGAGCATCTCTTATAAGGACGGCTGCTTTCACGACTCCTAGTTCCATATTACAAAGTTCTCTGCCTGGCATAATATAACATCCACAATTTCATCTTGACATCCTAGGGAGAAAAGAAATGGTAAATGCTCAAAATGCATTGAGACTTAAATGTAATACAATAATTCAGCTGTGTAAAATGGGAAACACAGGCCATCTAGCTAGTAACAAACAAACAGAAGAGCACCTACAGGTTCTTACATGTGTGTACTCACCAGTCCCTGTGTCAGGCTGGCCTCTTCCAGGTATCTGTGTTCTCTTTTTTGACCTGAATTAAAGAATTACAACGAAGAATGCCGCAGGTTCCAAAGTTTAGCTCAATGGATATTCTGCATAAAAAGTACTATCATACTTTTCTCTGAATATCTTTTATTAAATTTACAGGTCTCTTTCTGAGTTCCATGATCTTCTCTGGAGATATCTGCTTTGTATTTTGTATACGTCTGAGACTCTAGAACTGAAGTGAGCATTATAAGCTGAAGCAGTATACTCCAGCCTGATAGGGCAGGTAGAGTCTAGCAAAGGACAGATCAGTATTTCTTTTATAACCATTGGAACAGTCTTCCTGAGTCTCTTAATTCAAGGTTTAATTCAACAGCTTCAGTTCTTTTTCTTTTGGAACCCATGTTCCACAGGCAGGATCAAGATTTCAACCATTAAAATGATTCTACCAATGTGTGTGAAGCACTTACTTTATGCAAGATACTCTCCTACAATGAGAATAAAAAACAATAAGACATAGTCCTACTTTCCAAGGAATCATACTTAGCGCCCTCTGTTCCCACATGGTGTACTCGTGAGATCCACGAATGAAATAAATCAATGAAATAACTAAACTAGGAGAAAGAAATATAAATGGAAAAATTATAATGTATTTATTAGATGAATAAGATGTTGACCATGTTTCTCTTGAATATCAATTCTGACAATCATAATTTTACATAACATATTTATTGTATATCCATGTGTTTGTAAGAAATTGTTCCTAGTTTGTAAAACAGAATTGGGTTAACAAATTTCAATATTTATTAAAGAACATGGTGTTCCACTGAAGATATCACTAACACTAGTTGCTCCCATCAACTCTATTCAAAAATGGGATGACTGGATAAAGACGTTGTAGTATATTTATACAATGGAATACTACTCGGCCATAAAAAATAATAAAATAATGCCATTTGCAGCAACATGGATGGACCCGGAAAATGTCATTCTGAGTGAAGTAAGCCAGAAAGAGAAAGAAAAATACCACATGATATTACTTACATGTATGAATCTAAAAAAAAAGCTAAACAAACTTATTTACAAAACATAAAAAGACTCACAGACATAGAAAACAAACTTATGGTTACCAGAGGGGAAGGAAGTGGGACGAGATAAATTGGGAGTGCGAGATTTGCAGATACTAACTACTATATGTAATAGATAAACAACAAGTTTATATTATAGTACAGGGAACTATATTCAATATCTTGTAGTAACTTATGGTTAAAAAAGAATATGACAACAAATATATGTATGTTCCTATATGACTGAAGTATTGTACTATACACCAGAAATTGACACAACATTGTAAACTGACTATACTTTAATAAAATATATTTTAAAAAAGTAGGATCGCAAAACACTTTTTCTAACTGACAGGTTTCCATATATACCATGTGTATGTTGCCCAAATGGTTCATATCTTTTCTTAGGTTCCCCTTGTTCTATCAGAGATGCAGTTTACCAAATAAATTAGAATATTCATCATTTTACTGGAACATTTGTGGTAAAGGAGAGTACTACATCTCATGGGTCACACTATTTCACTAGAAAAAAAATTCTATGAGGTATGAATATCCTCCCAAGACACTCATCTCGAGTACCAATCATTGTGTCTCCTTTTTCTTCTGACCCACCACACAGCAAATCATAGCACAGCTCAAACTTACTCTTCACTTTCCTTCCTCCTTTTCCATTCAAAGTATCTTTCTCTTCATCCTGAAATAGAGGACACATAACACAGAACAGTCACTTATAAATCTTAGAGAGAGCTTAACAAAAATCTTCTCAGATATCATCTGCCAGGATGTTACTTCTCCACATATCATTATGTAAAGACTTATTTAATTAAACCTTCTAAATACATAGGACTATATGACTCCATAGCTTTGATATCATTAGAAGAAAGAAATAATAATAATGGCTAATATTTAATGAATGTTTACTGTGTGTCAGGCACTGTTCTAATAGTTTTATATAAGTAATGTCATTTAGTGCTCAAAATAATCTTACAATCTCCACACTATATCCACATTTAATACCCACATTTAGTTAATCTTCATTTTATTATAGCCACATTTAATAAACCTGAAAACTGAAGCAGAGAGGCTAAGCAACTTGCCAAGGCCACTCAGCTAACATGGTAGAGCTGGGGCTTTTAATCGAAGCTCAGGTACCAAAGCACAATTAGCCACTCTATCACAGTGCCTCAGCCAGGAACTCAACCCCCAGCCCTATTCTAATTCAGCAGGGGATACTAGCAGAAAATTACATAGAGTCACAGGGTAAACATTCAATATACAGCATTTCTGTGTAAGAAAAGAGCTTCAGTGTGTGGCTCTGGATCTTTGCACATAGAAATTAGATGTTGAACTAGATGAGTGGTCTAGTTAGGTAAGAACCAGAAAAAAATCCACAAGATTTTCTGAAATCTACAATATTTGTCATTAAAAGAGATGTTCTTTTTCACTGTTTTTTATGCCATTTAATTAATATATGGTTATAGCCAATTAAGGCAAAGACAGTGCTTTTAAATTCTTTTCAGTCTTCTAAAATTTCAAACATAGTCCTTCACAAATGTAAAAAGTCCATAAATATCACAGGAAGAAATAACAGACAAAGACAAAGGTGGAGTTAGATAAAAGAAAGTAAAGTGTAGTGAGCATTTGTTCAATTATTTTGTTTAAACCATTCCGCTCAAAAAGCTTTATGATTTACTTAGAGAAATATGATTTTTCAAGGTGCTTGCATTTCCTACTTTTTCTTTTCTGAATGATCACTTCTGTATAATTCACTATTTATAAGTTTTCTATTATGATATGGGCTGGAAAAATAAAATTGGAAAAAATTAAGATTTAATAATAAGAGGTTCACTGAGGACAAAGGGAAATGTAATTGGATAAAATCAGATTTTGAGAATTTCCCTGTATATCGCAATAATATGCAGTTCCTTTAAAAATACAATGTTTAAATATACCTATATCTTTTCATTTTACAAGGTGTGTTCACATAATTTCTGATTTATTCCTCAGGAGAAACTTACAAAATCAAGGAATGACTTGATAAATGGAGAGCAATTCAGTAGGAACCACAAATATCATAAAAATGAATATTTCCCCAAGTTAATCTAAATATTAAATGCTACTTCACACAATATTCCAACAAGGTATTCTGTAGACTTGTACAAACTGATCTTCAAATCCACATGGGGAAGAGTCGCAGATACTGTACCACTAAGACAGAGCCAGAAATGCAAGAGAAGCAAAATGTCCCCTCAGACATGATATCTTCATAAAGCTATTGTAACTGGAAGGTGATAATTATAAGAGAGTAAGTAAAAGGAAAAGAATGATGAGCCAGAACAAAGATGGGTGCACTTACGGAAATCTATTATACACCTGAGATAGCATTACACCTCGATGGGGTTGATTCAAGAAATGTGGGGGGACTAATGCATATCTCCTATAGGGAAACAGTAAACGTAGAGCCCCACGCTAAGCAAAGCAGAATTCACTGTTCACAAAAGAAGAGCTCGTAATGTCCACGTGGTATTTGGAAAGACGTTTATCCTCACCTATAACCAAGGAAACAAGTAATAAGAACAGTAAAATCCATTTTATCAGATCAGATCGGCGAAATTTGAGAAGTTGGATAACAGTCAATTGGGCAAAGAGATAGAGAAATTGGAAATTCTTAAACATTGGTAAGAACATAAATTAGCAGCATCACCATGGAAAACAAATCAAGATCATCTAATAAGACTGGAAACATGTAAACTCTCTGAGCTAACAACTCCATGTCTAATATGATATTGAGGAAACACTCCCACAAGTGAACCAGGAGATACGTAAGAAATGTTCTTTGGAATGTTGTTAGTAATAATAAAAAATGGAAAATAAAATTTCATCAGCTGTATTCTCTCATTTAGAGAACACATATATTGCTCCTCCTACAAGCTGGAACTATTCTAAAGGGTTGGTAATTTATTTGATTTTCATAGCAACTCCATGATCTAGGTACTATTACAATCTCCATTTTGTAGATGAGAAAACTGAAGCACAGAGAGGTTAAGTAACTCCTCAAGGTCCCACAGCAATAAATGGTTACAAACCCAGATGGTGTGGCTCCAGATTCTATGCTTTCTCTTAAGCATCAAGCTGTGTTGTTTCTCACACATTAGAGAATTAAATAATTTATGCTATAAGATAGCATGTGTTATTGTGAACAGATCTTTAAAATTATAATGAAGAGGGGAAAAGCAAGTTTCAGGATACTATGTACACTTTGATAGCATCTGCATAAGTTTTAAAAAGATGCAGGTGCACAATATTATTTTTTTTCATTCACATATGTGTACATTCCAGTATGTGACTGGAAGAATTCATATTAAATTTATGAAGTGGGTGATTCTGGGGGGATGGGAAAGGAAATAAGACTGGGGATAGGAGACTAAGAGGCTTTCAGGTTTATATTTAAATGTGGGGTAAAGAAAACCTTTAATGAAATATGTGTGTGTGTGCGTAAACTCTAACGTACTGGTGAAGACAGAGGCTCCAAGAGGTTGTGGCTTACTCAAGGACAGTTAGAAAACAGCAGAACTAGAAACCAGACTCAAGATAGAGTTTTATATTCTAAATCCAAGGTTTTCTCCTTTTAAACTTTGCCTAACCAGATATTTGCTACATATATTTAAGCTGCCTAAAAACAGTTGAAAAAGAGATTATAGTGAAATATAACCTATTTTACCCCAAAATCTTTCCTGATTATTAATTTACCTATTAACGCACACAACAATATTTACTGAACAACTGTTTTGCACAAGCCATTATGTTTAGGGACTAGATGTAGGTTGACACTCAAGTGAAGTATGAATCTATGGCCCCTGGTTTACAAAACCAGGGCTCCAATCACTGTCAGCAAAAAGAGGTTGTAAAGCTAGTAACTGTTCATTATTTGAGCTTCTGGAAGAAAATCTCTGCAAGTCTGACAAGGGGTTATCTTTATGCATTATTTTTCTTCATGGTGTAATAATAATTTCAAGCACTATTATTGTTATTATTATTCTCTGTAATTATATAATAATCATGATATCACATTTCTAACCCTCCAGAGAGAAAAGGAAAAATCTACTGGGAAGATGATGAGAGAGATTAGACCAAATGGTCTTGATAAATTTTCTATTGTAATTTTAAACAAAGCCCTAGACGCCATCTGACTAATTGCAGATATTTCTGGAAAGCTTGAAGGTCTCCAAATAATTAGGTTGGGAAGCGGAGGGGGGAATCAGTTAGGAAGCTGATATCTCCCTGGACACGGCTGCAGACTGGCAAGTGGCCTGCAGGCCGTGGTGATGCTGGCAGTGTGAGCCCCAGGCGGTCCATCTTCGAGACTAATTTGGACTCAGAAGCAAGGGCGTATCTATCCAATTCAGGAAAGCATTCTGACCATGAGAAGTATTTCAAAGCAAAGTTTCATAGAAGAAAGAGGAAACTTGAAATTCAATTTAAAATGTATTCTTTATAAGCTGAACAAGCAACAGTTTTATGTGCACTAACCAAGATGCTCTGTCATTCCTCATCAGTCACTGTTACATTCAAATTCCTGTGCTAAGGAACAAAGAAGTGTCCGGGGAACTGGTAATTCCTGATTTGCTTCACTAAGCCTGCCAAAAACAAAACCAAACCAAAGTTGATAAAGGCATCTTATGACGATCTGGCTATCATGATTATTCTCATCCAACAAAACTAATCTGAGACACTGAAAGGAACATTAATAGAAGTGTTTTTAAATTTAAGGAAAAGATGGTGATAAATATCAATGTTGGCAGCAGGAAGGCTATGTTTTAGCTATAAGATCTAAAAGGAAGAAAAAGTTCTTCCTTGCCAACAGTCTTCATTTCTTTATTTAAACTCTGATTTCTTGCAAAGATCATTTCTTTCTGATGAGAATATTGATAGCAGCTTTTGTAATAGCCACAGCAGAGTGATGCAGAAATATGGCTTTTACACCCAGTAGATTCAATGCATACTTTTATAGCCTATATTCTAAGGTCTCTTTGCATATTTCAACATAGGTATGTTCATTTCCAAGAGGAGATATAACAAACTACCTCAGGCTTGAAACATGAGAAATTTCTTCTCTCACAGTTCTGAAGGCTTAGTCCAAAATCAAAGTCGGACAGTGCCATGCTCCCTGGGCAGGCTCTGAGGAGGAACTGTTCTTTACCTCTTTCTTGCTTCTGGTGGTTGCCAGCAACCTCGGTGTTCCTTGGTTTATAGTTGCATCACTCCAATCTCTGCCTCTGTTATCACACGGACTTCTTTCTTCTGAGAGTGTCTGTATGTCCCCAAAAGGCCCTCTTGTTTAACACTAGTCATTGCACTGGGGGCCTACCTTAATCCAGAGCAGCCTCATCTTAACTTGATTACATCTGCAAAGACCTGTCTCCAAATTAGGGCACAACTGCAGGTACCAGGGATTAGGATTTGAGCATATCTTTTTAGAGAAAGCAATTCAACCAGTTAAAAATAAGTTAAATGCATATTTGAATTTCCTGAACCTAGAAGGCAGGAACAGATGAGGGAAATGAATTTCTCAGCATTAGCTAGCTATTTAATGTTTTTTTAATGCAATCATGAGGTTACAAGGCAGGAAAGGCCTTTCTGTATGGTCACACAGAGCAAGACTAGGCATGCAATCTCCCATGAATCCTGATTTCCTACATATAAGATAGGCAAAAAGGGGTATATACAGCCACGTCAAGAGCTAGGCCCCAGCAGGTCATGAACTGTAACACTTAGACTCTGGAAATAAGGACAGGGGATGGCAGTGGGGAATGGGAAGGAAGCCTATCATACCAATTTCACAGAAAATTGAGGAACAGAGACATTACACACACCATCCAAAGTCCATGAGCTAACCAGTGGCAGGACTGGGATTCAAAGTCTTTCAGTCTAGGCCCAGAGATCCTAAATTTTTCACAATTGTATTTATTCTTAAAGAAATGGCTCAAAGGAAACTGTTCTAGCTCTATGTGGTAATACCGTATCAGTTATTCCTTATAAGCTGACACACACAAGTGCCTTTGCCTAGACCTTCCCTGGGCATCTAATTCCCCCAAGAAATCTCTTACAAGCTCTAAGGCAGATGAAGTTCTATATTCCTGTTCCTGGACATTTCTTTGTACCAGAGACATAGCGGATAAATCCCTTCAGATACTGTTGTACATATCTAGGCACAATTCTACTTCAGACAAGCCAATTTACTTGCATTTCCCCCAAGTTCTATGTTCTACAGAGCACTGTGCCTTGCCCAAGCTGTCCACTTCCCTCATAAGGATTCACCATTCTCTTCCTCCCAAACATCTTGGCCAACTGTTACTTAGAATTCTAAGCTACATTTAAAGTGCTACCCCTACATAGATTCATTTCCTGATCCCTATCCACCACCCAGACTCTTCCCCTTTGACCCTGTTTGGGACCCATAGCAGTAGGTATTCCTACCAACCAAACATTAATTCACATCTTACTTCTTTCTAACGGAACCTGGAAAATATTCAATTAACCAAGCCCATTCACAAATCGAGGTAGTCAGAGAAATCTCACCCATCTCCAGCTTAAAGGATGCCCTTGATTTTTGTTAAAATTGTATCATTGTATCGGTAAGCTGTTGCCAACCACACATTTCAGCAGTTCAAAGCGACTGCAGTTTGTTATTGATCATGATTGTGCAGGTTGGCTAATCTTCTGGTCTGTGCCAGCTCAGCTGGAGCTGGATCTGGAATGACCTCAGTTGGATGGTCTTCAGCTTCAGCTGGGACCTTAGCTAAAACGGTTTGGAAAGCTGAGAGCCTCTATCTCCCTTTGGGCTCTCATCCTCCAGTAGAAAAAACTAGGCTTCTTTACTTGGTAGGAGATGGTTCTCTAGCAGCAAGAGAGGGCAAACCCCAGTGCACAAGCATTTTCAAGCTTTTGCTTTGTTCACAATTTTTAACGCCTATTAGCCAAAGCAAATCATATGACCAAGCCTATACTCCAGAGATGGAGAGAGACAGTCTGCTCCTGGAGCAGCGAAGTCACATTGCAAAGGGGTGAATCTACGGAATGGGAAGAGTTGCAGCTGACTTTATCAATAAGACCTGAAGCGATCACCTTATTTAAAACTGTAACTTAGCCCCACCCAAGCAGTACTGATCCCCTTTAACCAGCTCTCATTTCCATAGTGCATGTCACATTCTAACATGCTGTTATTTACTTGTTATGTCTGTCGTTTATTGTTCTGTCTCCTCCTTTACAATAGTTTTCCCAAGGTAGAAATCTTTGTTCACTAATTGATTCACTTAGAAGAGTATCTGACACATGGCAGGGGCTCAAGAAATATTATCTGAATGAAAGTGTGAAAGGCCCGTTAATAATCTAAGGCCAATGAGAACCTCATATTCAGCCACAGAAAGCATCTCATTCAATCAAAAGGATTGCAGATAGAACATTTCTAGCAATCAGGAGGGCCTGGATTGGAATGGTCCTTGAAGAATCCATTACAACTGTTCTAAGGGATAAAATTCTATCTTAAAAAAATAGATGTATATAACAAAATTACAGCAATAATCTGAAAGCCTGGCACCAGTTTGTGACAGCATTAGTCAAATTATAACTTTCCTGCCTCTTTTGAGTTAGAGGCGTAAGTAGGTGGAAGAGGCCAATCAGCTCCTCCCCCCGACCCATTAGGCAATGGCTAAAGGGTAATAGAACTGAGCTGGAAAGAGGGAAGTACCTGGAACTCAAATGAAGTTTGAAGCTTTAATTATCACATGAAAAGAGGCCTATAAATTGTTGACCGGAGAGCTTTGATGGGACTGTCTGAAAGTGATCAGAAAAATCATGGGGCTTCTGAGAAATTCCACCCAAGAGAAGGGGAAATAGCAGGCCCCTACTGAACAAATTAAAAGAACAGTGTGTGTCGGGGGGGTGGGGGGAGGGATAAAAGTACTTTATCCCACAATCCATACCTGTCAAACGTAATGGTTACATTGTCTCTCCAATGGTGAGAGCTGCAGGTGCAAAATGACTCATTCCTTATTCTTAGGAACACTTTCTACATGGAGGCTAGGAATCCTTACCAGAGACATGAAAGAAGAGCGCTAACAGTTACTAAATATATGCAAGGGAATAGGCGTAGTGCAGGAGCTATTTCATAAAATCTTTCCCAAATGCTATAAACTAAGTATTACTATTACCATTTCATATATGAGGAAATCAAAGCACAGAAAAGTTAATGCCCAGTCAGACAGGAAATAGAGGAGCTTAGCTTACAGTGGGTTCTTACTGACTCTAAAGGCCATACTCTTCTGTTAGAAACCACTGCCTTCGATACTGAAGCAGAATCAAATAAAAATCTCCTCCTCAATTAGTTTATCACCTTGTGATGTCATAAGAGCCTGGAGTGTGTCCATAAGTCACCACCACACAAGGTCCTAAGCGCTCTAGGAGATGCACTGGGAAGTGAAAAGAGGAAGAAATTACTTCCAGCTGAGCATCAGGGAAAATTTCTCAGAGGAAATGGGATTTTAAACTCCCCTCATAATTATCATGGAGCCAAAGGTCTGGTTGGTTTTCCCCACCTTCTTTCCTATCTTTGAGAATATTATGAGTCCTATTTGTACTTTTTTCAAGTTTTTAAATAATCAACTAAACTGAAAGTAACTTACACTCACTGTCTTCTCTCCTTCCTAAATATAGTTTCCTTTTTGTCACATACACACATACACAAATTGAAGTTAAAAAAAAGAGGACAGGCTCCCCATCTGTATTTCTTTGTGTCTATGACAAATCAGTTCTTAAAGCAGGTTGATCTTCCACTACCACTGGGATGATCTAAAAATGAGTAAGTACCTAAATCATTATAAATTTTATTAATTAGTATTTACACATGCTTTGACAAATATGATTATTTCTAGCATTTTCCTCATTCTGAATTTCTGAGTTGTTTATCATACTAAATTAGCAATATCAATTATATCCTTTCAAGCCAGAAGAAAAAGCAAACATGCAATAAACATCACTGTACGTATCACAAACTGTGAAATTCCAACTCCTAATGTCAAAAAGGGTATAGCTAAACATGACACTGAAGTGATTAAACATTATAAAGTAAAATAAGCACTTTATTTGGCCTAAAAGTACATATTTAAAAGTTATAAATGACAATAATGATTTTTATAATTATATACTCTCGTGTTATAAGTGAATATATAAGGATAATGGTGCAAATTTACCTCACATTGTAAGTGGCTATTTGTAAATTGCATAGCTTTTCCTTAACCAACAATTTCAGAGCCCACTATGGAATAATAGACCAAAACTCTGCTCTGTGTAAACTGCTCAAACATGAAACCCTAAATTCTGTGTAACCAACCTGATTCTTCTTAAGAGACTGATCTAAGTCTAAATTGAACCCAGACTGAGCAGTGAGAATCAGATGAATCCCACAGTTGAACTCTGCCCAATTTGGACATAGTCACAAAGTGTTATTTACGAATCACATAAATGAAGATTTACCACTTCAGACAGATTCACGATTAAGTAGAAGGAAATAAGGAAAACATTTGTTTTGATAATTACCAAGTACTAGGTCCTTTACATATAGTATTTTATTAAAATGGCACATGGTAGAACTAGGCTTTAAACATACAGACTCCATTCCCAGAGCCAGACACTTCAACACAACACCAAGAGTCTAATGCCAGGTAATAGCTAAGCTTTTATACCAATAAAAAAATTATTGATTCCACAATATTGCAAGAGTTTGGAATTGCATTTTGACCATGTGTTGCAGTTTGAAAACATGCAGAGAATGATAGAAGAGTCTGAACCAAGGGTGTTGTTTTACCCCAGATTCCTGTGAAAACGCCAATACATTTTCAAGAGTCTTTCTAATGATTCCAGTTTGAACAGGTTGCCTTAATTCACCTAGTGATGAAACTAGTCTTTCTCCCCTCAGTTTCCCTCTTGTTCTTTTGTGGGTCCACAATTAGCAATGTAGCACTTAGCAGCAAGTGATGCCCGAAGTCCACAAAAACATATCACCCACGACAATCACATGGCTCCAGTTCAAGTACAGGCTGACTTCACCTCCTGTCAGTATCCAGCTCATGATCCATGGTGATTTCCTCTTTCCATCTCAACCTTGACCTCGTAGGGCCCCCACAAAGAGCAAAGGCCACAGGGCAGCTCAATAAAGTCGCTGCCCGGCTGTGTGCTGGTTTCAGAGGTGCCAGCACTGCTGTTGGAGTGGCTTTTGCTGCCACTCTGCTTAACTCATCCATCATCCAGTGTTGGTTTAGAAGACCCCACCTGCAACCTCACACTTGTAGCCATACGGAACCCTGTAGTAACTTCTCTGTGGTGCAGAACCAGAAATGGGCCACAGTTTATATGCATGGATAATTTGACTAATAACTACCAAGATTCTTCCCAGAATAGCTGCATCATTCCTGCAGAAATGCATGGAAGTTTTTATTCTTAGGGTGGTTGCTCCTAACTTAAGATCTATACTTCTGGGCTTTCCCCTTACGTTTCCTTTATTAGTTTCTTCAATGTAACAATATTAGTATCTTGCAGGTTTCATATCATTTTGGTCTTGCTTCCTGCCTCCCACCTCCAACACAATGTTGATGTTACTTAGAATTTATTTTCCTCAATCTGAGCTTTTTAAAATAGTCATAATATCCTCTAGTTTTTTGGCCACCATTACTTCATGTATCTCTGGTAACACCCTTGTGCTTTTTTGTATCTTCTTATTTCAGTACATTCTCTAAGAGTTCTTCAGAGTGGGTTTCCATCTGGTAAATATTTTGAGGTCTGACTGGATATAAAGCCCTTGGTTCCACCATGTAATTATGGTGTTAGCTGATACGCTCATTCTCGTTGGAAGCATTTTCCATTTGTTGTTGATGTTCTAGAATTTAATTATATACATCTAGGTAATAGTGATAATAGTAATACTAAAATAGTGACTATGTACAAGGCACTATTCTAAGGGTTTTACACATATGTTAATTCATTTACTCCTCATATTAATTTTATAAGATAGTTAAGATAGACATTTCACTAGCCTCATTTTATTGCTGGGTAAACTGAGATACAGAAAGTTTATCTTATGCACTATTTCAAATAAGAAGTCTGTCATTTTTTTTAAACTCTGGGATATTAATATTCTTTAGCTCTTCAAATATATCTTCACCTTTGTCCTCCACTATGACCACCAGCATCTGTCTTCTGAGAATATTATTAACTGTGTATTAGCACTTTTATTTCTATTCTCCAACTCTTATATAGTTTATTGTTATATTTTCTTTATATCTTTTTCTGTTACCTTCTGAGAGTGTTCAGTCTGATCTTGAGCTGCATTCTTTGGCTTATATATCTTACTTATTCTGTTCTTTATTTCAACTATGATATTTTTCATATTTACTATTTCCATTTGGTTCTGTTTTAATAACTTCTCCCACATTTTATGAACACTTTTCTTATCTCTGAGCATTTCAATTAAACTTATTTTGAATTCTTAGTCCATCTGCTCCAAGAATTCTGCTTCAGATGATACTGGTTTGTCACTTTTCTTTTATAGGCTGTTCTTCCCAATATTTAGTTGTTGTTGTTGTTGTTCTCTGTGAGCTCATGGTGCTGTCTCATAATAAGAATTGGGGAAGGGCTTAAGTTATATTCCCCCTGATGAAAGTAAACAAAAGGGGAAGGGTGAGACTAAGTGGGCCTCAATGTACCAAACATTCTCTCTCAGTCACTTCTGTTTG